TGTGTGCTAAATTGCTTCAGTTGTGTCTGAGTCTTTGCAACCCCATGGACTGTAGCCCACTATACTCCTCTGTCCATGGGATTCTCCAGGCAAGAATACTGCAGTGCATTGCCTTTTCCTCCTCCCCTAATTACTATACTTCTATATAAAAGACATAAATAAATAAGAGAAATTACATTGCTTACTATTCTTTCAGCCCCATGAGGCCTTTGGTAGCTGTTTTTTTTTTTTTTTAATCTAGTTTCCTACATTAAAAAAAAATAGTTGTTTGTCTCTGAGCATCTTTTCATTAATGTCAGAAATAGCAATATGTATAGAAAGTTTTAGCTAAGAAGTATTTTGAAGAGAAAGTGTTTAAAATTTGTGTCAGTATGGTGCTGTCCAGAGGAGCTATCTCTGTAAAAACAGAACTGTTCTTGTTTGTTTGAACTTTCTAGATTCCATATAATTAATCTGAACATGAGAGAGCGTGAATTTTTTTTTTTTTTAAGAAAAGTACCGCTTACCTTCCTGGAAGAGCAAATATATTTTCAAACGTTCCTGCTCCCTTCCTAGGAATGAACAGTTATAGCCAGGAAGCAGATGAAATAAGAAATACAGTGCCAGTGGTAAGAGGCTTGGATGAAAGCATAAGGAAATTCCCAAGATGGTGTTTTTATTTTCCATTTATTTTTATTAGTTGGAGGCTAATTACTTTACAATATTGTAGTGGTTATTGTCATACATTGACATGAATCAGCCATGGATTTACATGTATTCCCCATCCCAATCCCCCCCTCCCACCTCCCTCTCCACCCAATTCCTCTGGGTCTTCCCAGTGCACCAGCCCCGAGCACTTGTCTCATGAATCCAACCTGGGCTGGTGATCTGTTTCACCCTAGAGAATATACATGTTTCGATGCTGTTCTCTTGAAACATCCCACCCTTGCCTTCTCCCACAGAGTCCAAAAGTCTGTTCTGTACATCTGTGTCTCTTTTTCTGTTTTGCGTATAGGGTTATCGTTACTACCAAGATGGTGTTTTTAAAGGGCATTCAAAGGGAACAGACCAGGTAGACAAGAAAATACAGGATTCTTTGAATGGAAACAATTCTCCATTTCATTTCTCCTAATGGCTTTCTAGTTCAAAAAGAGAAGATTGTACTCATGGAAAACTGATGGATAGGCAATGGTTAAAACACAAACAAATCTGGAAATCCATGTCCTAGCTCTAGTATATATTTATTGGATGATCTAAATTTGGCATTTATGTCTTTCATATCACTTTCTCTCTCAGAAAACGTGAAAAATTTTTCCTGTTCCTTCCCACACATTGATGCTTCCAGGATAACTGAGATAGTGTTTACAGTTCCATGGAGGGAAGATACTATTTCACTATTTCAAAGTTCCTCCTTTCCTTGGAAATGTATAATATCAATGCATACAGTGTTGTTAAGGAGAAGAAACTGGCAACCAATTCTTAGTATTCTTGCCTGGAGAATCCCAGGGACAGAGGAGCCTGGTGGGCTGCCATCTATGGGGTCGCACAGAATCAGACACAACTGAAACGGCTTAGCAACAGCAGCAGCAGAATACAGTATTATTAAAGAATCAAATTTTCCATAAAAGTGATTATTTTTTCAGAAAATACTTATCCCATTCAGAACTAATAGTTTCTTTTAAAAATCTAATCATTTTAAATTTAACAATTTGCATTTGTGGATTTTTTCCTTAATATTTATCGAATGCTTGCCATCTGCAATGTATTTTAGTGGAACTCTTTCTTTCTGGTTAAACAAAATATGTTTACCTTTTATTAATGAGTCCTTAAGACATCAGTATATAAAAAGGGGATTTTACTTTGCTTCAAGCATAATATCAGTTGACATCATAAAACTTCTAATACACTTTTAGGCTAATGAAATATAAGCCCTAGACCTAAGTGAAGTGAACTATTAGTTCAGTTTTATTCTACATCAATTCAGACAAACCTAGAGTTGAGTTCTAGGTGCACAGTATAAGAGCAACATTGACAAAACTAGTGTATCTGAAAAGGGGTGACTAAGATGGTTAAAGATTTGGAAATCATGCTATACAGGCAATTAAACACTTGGAGAAGAAAATAGGAGGAGCAATAAAACTTTACTTCAGACCTTCAGATACCTATTGGAAAAAGATTGGACCTATTATATTGTTCAGACAACTGAACTATAAACATAGGTAGAATTTTAAGGAGAAAGATTACAATATTACCCAAAATGAAAAGGGCTGCTTTTGAGGCTTTTGTTTACTGAGATTTCTACAACAGAAACTGGGTAACCCTTGGACAGAGATTCTGGGGAGAGGATCTGATGAGGTAAGAAGTTGCCCTCAAGGACCCGAAGGTCCCTTTTGATGCTAAATAATCCCATAATCCAATGGAAACTTCACTTACTGTACTAAGTTATAATAGGGTGACACCTTGCAGCTTTTGGATGCTTTGCCTCTGAATTAAAGGCCTCAGATTGCTATGGGGTTTTTGGTTCTTATGCTACTTTTCACAGTTCTACCATCCCCTTTATGCTTCCCAGGTGGCGCTATTGGTAAAGAACCCACCTGCCAATGCAGGAGACAGAAGAGGAGGGGGGGTTCGATCCCTGGGTCTGGAAGATCCCCTGGAGGAGGAAATGGCAACCCACTCCAGTATTCTTGCCTGGAGAACCCCATGGACAGGAGCCTGGCAGGCTACAGGCTACAGGGTTGCAGAGTCAGTCATGACTGAAGCGACTTAGCATGCACAGCATGCATCCTCTATTACCAGGTTGCCTCAACTCATTCCTTGTTTTAACAGCCTCCTGCTTCATTCTACTTTCTTACTTCTAATATGCTGTCGTCTATGATAACAGCATAACCAAACTTGTTAACACTGAGTGGATAATTTAAGTGAAGACCTAAAGAGCTCACCTGTGAATAAGGTCTTTGGTATATGAACTTTTTGCCATCAATTTTAGTTCTTGAAGGCCTTTTTTAGCTTTCTTTCAAATTCTCAGGAGTATTCTAGATTTGTCAATTATGTGGTGTCTGGAAACTTGTTATCAAAATTCCATAGGCTTGCTAACCTTCCTACTAACATAAATTTTTAAAAAAATTCTGAACTCATTACTGAAATTTTCAAAAACACTTAATCATAGGCAGTGTATGCTCTTGATTATCACTGAGCAACATTTTCCTTAGGTAGGTAAACTTTCCCTGTATAGCATATTCAAAATGAAAATAGAAAAAAAAAAAACAAAAAGAAAATTTAAATGATGAAAGTAGAATTTATAGCTAAATTAGACTATGCAACCAAAGGAAATTGATTAGAAATCTAATTACTATTCTCTTCTTAGCTGCTTCATATATAAAATATTGGTATAAATGTACAGATTTCTTTAGAATATGGGGAATCATTCTGATCTCACTGGTTTTCTTCTTAATCCCTGGTCTTTAGTATACTGCAATCGTTTTTTACCATAACTAGTCAAAAATGTTTAATGAAAATTTATTATATATCTAGCAGGTGTTCTCAGTTAAGAATAAAAGAAAATGATAATAATGTTTTGTTCAGACTAAGTAAAACAGACTGCTTGACCATTAAGGAACTCACTGTCTCCTTAAAGGAAGTATGAACCAGTTACAGAGCAATCAAGGAAGTATATTATCAAGGCAGGATTGGTGCAGATAGTAATGCCCTTGATATTTGTAATGGGAAATGGAGTAGTTCTGCCTCAATAGGGTAGAATCAGAAGTTAATAATAAATGTGCATTTTTTTTCTTTTTTAAAAGTTTGCTTTTTAAGTTAGGTTAATATTGGTGTTAAGAGCCCTTGTATTGTTATTATTTCCTGTCATTTATTTGGTAAGAATAATCTGGAGAGATGTTCAATTGACTCAATTGGAAGCATGTCTATAAGATATGAAGAAAGCCCCAACATTGCCAATATTTGAAAATCCAAAGGGTTTATTTTCTGAAATGTTACATAAATTGCTATTCCACATCTTTTGCCACTTTCCAGTGCTGGCCAGAATAATTTTAATGTCTCCCAAATGGATGATGCTGACCAGGTCCCAGTCCTTCCTGGGAGATATAAACTTCTTCTATAGCCTCAGCTGAGTCATAAACAATACCTACGTGTGCCCCAAAGCTCTAAATTGTCATCATCAGCAACACACACACCTGAATTGTATCTGTAAAACAGTTACTTTTCTGGAAAATATTTAAAGGCACAAAATGAACACTGCAATCAAAAACTACTTTCTACTTAACTTTTGCCAGTTTCCCTGGATGTGTACACAGAACTAGATTTACACAGAACTTGCGAAAGTCCCAGATTCAAGTGCTCCATAACCGGCTTCCATAATCAGCAGCCCCGCACAATGCTATCGACAATTAGCTGCTTTCGGCTGCTACTAAATCTTCTCCCTTAGGTTATTTCACAACTTCACTGTTTCGCAGCACAACTGGAACGACAGAGCTTGGAAGGACCAAAGAGGTTCTCTTCGTCGTGCCCCTGCCTCTAGACTAGGATGTTCTTAAACTGGGCACTGGCTAGTCCTGTGCCCCTTTGCTTTTAGCACCCTGAGTTTGAATTAGGGAACACTTTTTATATCAAAACGGATACACCTCGGATAAAGTAAGCATTGACTGTTTAGCCAAGATGCCCTCCCCCACCCGCTGAGGGTCAGCAGGGGAGCGGCGACTGCAGTTAATGAGCTCTCTCTTGCCCATGACCGCTACTGGGTGGGCGTGTGTGAGTGGGGGCTCCATCCCTGGGTTGTGAAACTGGGAGAAGGGGTGGCGGGGGAAGAGGGAGGGTTTGTTTCTTGCTGGGGGCTGCGGGAAGTAGGCGCTAGCCTATTTCGCGGTTTTTTAAGCCCCTTGGCATGCCCTGACCTGATCAAGAAGGAGTCAACTGCTCTGTGGAATGTTCCGGGAGAAGGTGGGAGACTGCTTCCAAAGGAGGCCTGTGGGTGCTGCAGGGCACCAGGGGGGTCACGCAGGGACATGCCGGGCGAGCGCCGGGAGGGGCACGAGCGGAGCTGGGGGCCCGGGGTGACGGGCGCGCGGAGGGGCGGAGGCGCGCGGGTCAAGCTAGCCGCCAGGCATCGGGGGCGGCCGGTCTGGTTGTGCGGGGTGGGTTGGGGGGCGTCCCTCCCCGAGCTGCGGCGGCGACTCGCCCTCACAGGCTACAGCGCCCCGGCTGTCAAAGCCAGCGCGGGGGGCGGGAGGGAGGAAGGGGTGGAGGTGCGAGGGAGGAGGGCTGGCACCGGAGCGCCGCGGTGTCGGGGCAATAAAAATGCATCCCCTGGAACTGCCCATGGAGAAGCAGGGGACGGAGACGCCGCAGCCAGAGGAGGTGGTAAAAGCGGAGGAGGACGCCCAGGAGGCGGCGGCGGCGGCGGCGGCCGGGAAGTGAAAGGTCTCGCAAAGTTCAGCGGCTGCTGCGGGCGCCGAGCCCCGGGCTAGCCGCGGAGGTGCCCGCGGACTGCTCCGCTGGGCAGCGCGGCCGGGCAGGCTATGGTCCCGGGGCTTCTTCCGCCCCCGAGGTGCCCGGGCCCCTCCAGGCTGGTGCGCGAGGGTCACCCCACCTCCCGGCGCGGCCCCAGCCCGCGGCTTCCCGGCGCCCGCGCCCACTGACCGAGCCAGGCGCCCCAGGAGGAGGAAGAAATAAAGAGCTGTGGTTCCTCCCGAGGACTTGTTGGCGCTTCATCCCACAGCCGCGAGGGCTCGACTCCCTCCCGCGCGCCCGGCCCGGGTCCTCCCGGCTTCTCCCGGCCATGGGGAGCTGCGCGCGGCTGCTGCTGCTCTGGGGCTGCTCCGCGGTGGCCGCAGGTGGGTGGTGACGCTGCCGGGCCCCCACCCCCTTTTCTTCGCGCTTGTGTTCCCCATCTCGGGACTTGGGGATACAGGGGAGCGCAGGCTGAGAGCGCCGAGCTCAGCGCCCAAGGATGAAATGAGTGGCCATGTTCCGCCTCCTTTTCCCCGGGTCTCCGCAGTTTAAAATATTATTATTTTTTGCAACTGCGATACACATGCCCTTGGATAACCCGATATCCTGGGTACGCCCTGCCTGAGATAGTGCGACCTTGGTTTTCTCCTCGGTTTGGACTAGTAAAAAACTGCCTTTCCACTTTGTGAGGGAACAAAGGACCAGGCTCGCCATCCCCCGGCACTACATGGCCTGAGGAATGATGGGGAGGGGTGGCCCGGCAACCCTGGGCGCGCGTGGGCCGGGGCCGCTCGCTTGTTGAGAGCGATCGCCGCCGTCCCCGAGCTCTTGCTGGGTACTGGGGAGCCAGGTAGGGACACCTGGGGCGGGGTGAGTGCCCTCTCACCGGGGCAGTGGCTAGAACTCAGAGCCCAGGCTGGGACGGTAGGTGGTGATCACCCTGGGTTGCAAGGAGCCGGTTTACCGCCCTGGGGAATTGGTACCCTGGCTGAGGCTCCGCGGGAGGTCGGAGGCGGGTCTGCTTCCTGTCTGGGTAACTGGACGCCGGGCAGCGGCGGCGTCAGATGCGCTCGCCCTGCACTCCCAACCCCGGCTGCCTTGGGCTGCCTTTGGCCACCAGTTCCTAGCTTGCTCTTTCTAAATTTGGGAGCCCCTTAGTCTCCTCTCTGTCTTCTTGTAGGTCACCTGGTTTCCAGTTAGGCGCAAGTGCAGTTCAGGGTGTAAGGGGGAAAGAAAGTGAGGAACTATTTGGCCTCGGTCTCTCAAAGCTTCTCGCTTGCTCCAGAAAGTAGAGTGTGGGCTGGAGGGACTAACGGGTGGGGAGAGAGCACTGGTACACTTCTCCCTTCCCTTTGGTTTCATCTACTCTGCCCCCAGAGATGCCAGCATGAAGAAAAGCCAGGCTTTAGAATCTGCATCCCAAACCTCAGTAGGGCTGTTAGGAGCATCCTTGCTATATTTGGATGGTCATTAGGGATCTCTAAGTATTGTGTCCACCGATTATTTATCTGACTCCAGTCTTCTCTTGATTGCTTCTTAGTTTTTTTTTTTGGAGGTGGGGGGGGGGGTGGAGCTGTAAAATTATTCAGCACGTTTCCCAAGGAACTGTTAAAGGGTCTAAGCTTTTATTTTAATTATTGCTACTTAAGCACCCCTATGTGCACTTATGTATGCTCCCCCAACCACAAAGTGAACTTTAATAAACCTTTCAAACCATGTTATTGCAGAAACATGCAAGCAATCAAAAGCTTGTAAATAAATATCACAAGGCAAGTGTTTCAAGTCAAAAACACTTGTGCGGGCAGTATATGATTTTCCCTGAAATGCTTTACAGGTGAGTCATAGCACGTTGTGTGTTCGTGTGATGTTGGCCACGAGCAGCTGTTGCCCCAGCTAATCAGAAAAGTGGCAAGCAGAGTCCAGACATAAGGCACACTTGAATCTGAGATTTAAAAACTATGCCTGAGGAAGCCCTTTCTTAAGATTGCAAAGACAATGTGAGGCTCCTGATAGTCAGTGAATGAAATGTCTCTCTTTTGGTCTAAGTTGTCATTTGGCTTATAGTGATAACAATTGAGAGGTGCTCCCTCTTAAGAAGCAGAAACGTTCAATTAGCCAGAATTTGGGGTTTGACTTCCTTTTCTTTCTCTCTCTGTTTTAACTTTTAAAATAGATAATTTTGTTTAAGGTATTCATAATTAAAATGACAAGCCCAAATTAAAGGATTATATTATGTAGTCAGGATGTTAATAGGTGGATAATGTTTATCATTTTAAGTAATTTTGAAACATTAAAGTCTGCTAGGCCTTTGTTTGGGTGGAAGCACATGTTTCTTTAAGAAGGTGTTTTAGTACACAGATTATGTTTAAAGGTGCTGTTAGTGGCTGCCAGACTGTAACCATTCTGTTAGGTAAACAGGTGACTACTATATAACCTGTCATAGGGAGAAGCAGTCAAGAGGGAGAGAGCACATCAAATAAGCTTTTCTGTCATCTGGTAGTTTAGAGGGTTTTTTTCTTAGTTACATTTATGCAGTACTTAAAACAGATGTTGCACATCTGAACTCCCTAAATGAGATCCCATTGTATACCAATATCTCATATTGATTTTCCTAGAGAATTTGTCCCTTCATATTTTTGTCTTAAAAATATGGTGGAATTCTATATTCCCTCTGTAATGCATTCTCATACACATATTAGATAATGCCAAGGAATCAAATTATATTTGAAAGGCTAAACTGAGTGATCTTAAAAACTTCTGGGTTTTGGTATTATTTATGTCATGGCTTCAAAAGCAAATGAGTGTGTTTCAAAAATGGAGACTGTTTAGAAAGCAAAATATTTGAAAAGGTTTAGGCCCGTTATCTTTTCCCAGTGTTTCCACTTTCCTTCCTCTCACCCTTGACCCAAAGTGATTTTATTTTCTTTTATATGAATTGTACATCGGAACATGAAACACACATGCAGGCACATCCTCATACACTCATGCACATTCACACACTTCCATATTTGCGTTTGGTAGAATTTCCTCTTTACTGAAAGTCTCAGGGCAACATGGGACCTGTTGAAGATGGACTGGTGGACAGAAGAGCTTTCCAGATGGGTTTGTCTTGAATAACATATGCTTTCCCATCTCTAGGACTGAGTGGAGTGGCTGGAGTGAGTTCCCGCTGTGAAAAAGCCTGTAACCCTCGGATGGGAAATTTGGCTTTAGGGAGAAGACTCTGGACAGACACCACCTGTGGTCAGAACGCCACTGAACTGTACTGCTTCTTCAGCGAGAAGACTGATCTGACTTGTCAGCAGCCCACATGTGACAAATGCAATGCTGCCCAGCCTCACCTGGCTCACCTCCCAGCTGCCATGGCAGACTCCCCCTTCAGGCATCCTCGCACGTGGTGGCAGTCTGCTGAGGAGGTACACAGAGAAAAGATCCAGCTAGACCTGGAAGCCGAATTCTACTTCACTCATCTAATTATGGTGTTCAGGTCTCCTCGGCCGGCAGCCATGGTGCTGGACCGGTCCCAGGACTTTGGAAAGACATGGAAGCCTTACAAGTACTTTGCAACGAACTGCTCGGCTACATTTGGCCTGGAAGACGATGTTGTCAAGAAGGGAGCTATTTGCACTTCTAGATACTCCAATCCTTTTCCCTGCACTGGAGGAGAGGTAAGGGCACAAGCTTAACTCTACACTGTAAGTAAGGTAGAAAAATGTTACCAGCCCACATTTTTTTTAAAGCATGAAGGTATACTTGTAGCAACATGAATGAAATTAGAATTTTTCATGAGCTTTATTTGTCATAAATTATTTCTCACCCAGAGACACACATGTGGAATCATTTTCAAGTGGGTTGCCCACTGGCTAGGTTTAACTCAGAATTCCAAGATTTTAATTTTTTTTCATTTTAAGGAAGGGTAGATAGGCAACATTATCAGTTTACCTTAGAGGTTTAAAAGACTACTGATGCCTTCAGTCAGCGGGACTGCTTACTGTGCCTCTGCAGGGGCAAGCCTTACTGAGACTGCCTGTTCCTGGAGCCCATGCCTGTCTTCCTGCAACGTTAACATAAATAGGAAGTAAATAAAAACAAAGCCAAGGGAGGAAAGTACTCTGTCAGAGGGTACTTTTGTATAACAGAGGAGTTTTATTGTTAAGATTAAGAGACTGCATGGCAAACAAATGCAGCTAGTTTCTTTTTAGATGCAGGAACTCTTTCTGGGCACACACGCATCAGTTGCAGCTCAGGCTCCTGGGTCTATCCTGGGTGCAAGACCATCTCAGTATCACTCTGCAAAACAGCCCCTTTAACTACTGCTCCGATTTCTATACAGAATGTTTACTCTTTGCTTCAGATTTCCCATCTCTTAAGGGGGAGACCTTTTTTTTTTAATTTGTATGGATGTACCTAGAAAGCCCTCCCCCACTGAGATGTATGAAAACATGGAGTTTAGAGACATTTGGGTGAAAGCAGATTTAGAGAATAAGGTACCTTCAACGTATAGATCAAGAAATATCAACATAGAAAAAAAAAAGAGAAGAGAATATAGTATTTCTAGATGTAGCACGTGACACAGAGAGTAAGCAAGTGGTTCCCAGCTAGAGGTGACTTTGTTAACATCACCGCCCAGGGGATATTTGGCAATGTCTGGAGACACTTTGGCTGGGGGTGGGGGTGACACGGCTGGTGTCTGGTAGATGGAGGCTGGGGACGTCACTCAGCCTCCTACACTGTGCGACATAGCCCTCCTCCCATTCCCGTTCCCAGAAAAGAATTATTCGCTCAAAATGTCAATGCTGTCAAAGTTGTGAACGTCTGGACCAAGTGTTAAGCATACATCCAGAGACTAAGATAATCATTCTTCCAGCAGTGTTTATATTACTATTCCTAGACTTCCCAGGTGGATATATTCAGTAAATATTCATCGAGTCCCTACTATGTGTCAGGCAGTGCTACAAATTCTGTCTTTGGCTTGGGGCCCAGGAGTACTTGCCAGGGACTGATGGAAAGATTGGTTTGGGCGCTTCTCCCACGTGCTGCTGCCGTAGACACGTGGACTTGGCCATGTCGCCCGGCTGCTGCTGTTTCTGTGTGCGCGCTGCAGACCTGCAGCAGTGATGCTGGCCCCGGAACCAAGGAGGCTGCGGCACAAGCAGCACGCAGGTGGTTTTCCATTCCTACTCTTCGGCTCATTCTTCCTTAAACTGGCTTAGTATTGTAAACCTGTGTGCACCCTGTCATGGTGGACATTTTTCCAGATACCAGGAAAGAGACAGATAAGTTAGACTCTTTGTTTCCTTCTGTGGAGAACACTTTGTGTTGCAAACAGATGAATTGCTTGAGCTCTCAAATTGCTTTGGAATTGATCCACAGGCTCATATCAGTTCCCTCCATCAGTGCTAGTGGGTCATGTTATCTATGAAGTAGCAAAAATAACAGTTTCAGTAACCAGATGGTAGGCATGCCTGCTTAGCACATATCTTATTGAATGTATTTCAATGGCCCAGAAATTACTTAGAGATGACTGAAGTAATGACTAAACATTTATTTACTGTACTGCAGAGCAAAATTTTGTTTTCTTTAAAGCCAAGATACTTATTGTCTTCAATGCTTACATCAAATTTCAAGCAGGTCGAGACTAAAACTTATGTTAGATCGATCTTTCAGTATGCAGTTACCTTTTATATCTAGTTAAAAATTTTTTTGTTGTAGTTATTTCAGCAGACATATTCCAATGGCAAGAAAAACATTAAATGCCATCTAGTTCTCTCTAGAGCATGACTTGCAAGTGTATGTTAAACCATCATAGAATTTCTTTCCCTTAGAGACAGGTTTGGGAATGAATCTTTCCCTCCTGAGTTAGAAGAGAATTTTCCTCAAAGATAAGGACCAGAGGAAGCCTCCTTGGAAATAAGCATTATCTGCCTCTGTTGCTTTGGAATATAAATTAGTGCTGAGCTACATTTTAATTTTTCAGTACAACTCTGTAGCATCAGTCACTAGTTTTGAAAACTGAGCAGAAAAACAATCCAATTAATCTAGCATCAAATAAGCAGCCTCAGATTTCATTTATTCCTTATTTATAATATTATAGACCTATATGTTTATCCATTCTACATAAGACTTCTTAGGCCTTCTCTAGGTATTATCCTACTACTTAGGCTAACGTAAATATATTCCAGTCTTAATTTGTTTCCATTGTTTATTCTGAAATACTTCTTTGGGCTTTTTAGGGCTTTAGAGAGTCCTGTCGTTTCATGTCTAAGAAATCAGATATGTCCATCTTCAGAGTGGAAGACACCAGTCATCTGAAAGAGGACTTTAAAAATATAGGCCTCAAAAATCCACACAGAAGAATACTTTTTAAATACAAGTTTGAGTTTACACAAAACCTTCTAAACTGGTCAGCAGTTTCAAAGAATGGGATATGATTATCCTACAATGTGTCTCATTATAGGAGAGGAGATTGAGGCTCAGAGATAAGGTGATTTGTCCAGCTTACAATTGGTTGGACTTCCCTGGTGGCTCAGATGTTAAAGAATCTGCCTGCAATGCAGGAGACCTGGGTTCAATCCCTGGGTCAGGAAGATCCCCTAGAGGAGGGAATGGGTACCCACTCCAGTTTTCTTGCCTGGAGAATCCAATGGATGGGGAGCCTGGCGGGCTATAGCCCATGGGGTTGCAAAGAGTCCAACAGGATTGAGCGACTATCATACAGTTAGTTATGTGACAGAGCTTGGACTAAATCACAAAGACTTTATAGTATTTGTTTCATAAAACCACATTCTTTCGCCATTACTGACCTCTAAGAGTTGCTAGCAAAGAGATATCTGCCTTTATCCTAGCTCAGTCTCTCACATTTGCTGTTCATTTGGATGTGACATGAAGGTAAAAAAGAATTTGCCAACCAGCTTTCTCCTCAGCAGAAGTGTCCTCTGAAATGTCAGTGGTGTTCTGGGAATAAGAGTTTCCATAGCCAAACTAGGTTGGGAGACACTGACTGGGTTTAACAAAACGAGACGTTTATAAATACGTAAATATTCTCATTATGTGTCCTGTATTTTCATGTGGGAGGTATAGGATGGGACATTCCCAAGCTTATTTGCCCATGCAATCCTGTCTTTTCAGAACTCCAATTCCTATCTTTTAGAACTCTAGAGATCCACAGAGCATAACTTGGGAAATGCTGGGGTGAGGTATTAAGTGCTCCCCAAATCCTGGTGAAAGGCACAGACAGGAGGAGATGTTGTTTATGGGGCACAAAGTTTCAGTTATGCAAGACGAACAAGTTCTGGAGAACTAATGTACAATACTATGACTATATTTGGAGAAGGGAATGGCAACCCACTCCAGTATTTTTGCCTGAAGAATCCCATGCACAGAAGAGCCTGGCAGGCTATAGTCCATGGGGTTGCAAAGAGTTGGACACAACTGAGCGACTAAGCATGCATGCCTTCGTGACTGCAGTTAACAACACTTTATTGTGTACTTGAAATTTGCTAGAAGGCTGGATCTTAAGGATTCTCACCACATGTGCTGAAAAGTAGTGACTGTCTGAAGTGACAGAAATGTTAATTAGCTTAAATGTGGTGATTATTTGACAATATTTATGTGTATCAAATCATCAAATTGTAAACCTTCAGTTCAGTTCAGTTGCTCAGTCTTGTCTGGCTCTTTGCGACCCCATGAACCGCAGCACGCCAGGCCTCCCTGTCCATCACCAACTCCTGGAGTCTACCCAAACCCATGTCCGTTGTGTCGGTGATGCCATCCAACCATCTCATTGTAAACCTTAAATACATATAATTCTTAATTTCCAAATATACCTCCATTTTTTTTTATAAAGGCACAGATGAGCCTGGTGCATGGTAGTGAGTGTGGGGGTGGGGAAGACACAACAAAACAAATTAGCTAAGTTACACAGTATGCCAGAGTGTGATGAGTTCTAAGGAGAAAATAAAACAAGCTAGAGGATGTGGGGAGGGCTTCCCTGGTGGCTCAGGTAATCCACCCGCAATGCAGGAGACCCGGGTTCGATCCCTGGGTCAGGAAGATCACTGGAGAAGGGAATGGCTACCCACTCCAGTGTTCTTGCCTGGAGAATCCCGTGGACGGAGGACAGCAGAGCCTGGCAGGCTATATAGTCTCTGGGGTCGAAAAGAACTGGACTCGACTGAGCGACTAACACGCAGACGGTGGGAGTGCTGGCAGTGGAGGGCTTGCTGTTTTTATAACAGATTGAAGGATTTGTGTTGGATGAAACAGACAGTGATAAGAACTCTGAGTTCCTGGCAAGATTTCATGAGTGAACAAAATCTATAATTAAGGCTTCCTTCAATCTTTTGATATGGAAAAATGAAGTTGTGTATTAAAATAACAAACATTGGTAAAAATCCCTCTTGCTAGTGTTTTTTAGAATGAGAGCATTTGAAAAGGAACCTGAATGTCATAGATGGAAAAGCACATGACTGATGAGTAATCTGAAGCCTGAAGAGAATTAATGTCTTGTCTACAATTACTCAGCTGAAATTTGTATTTCCTGACTTCTCGCCTAGTGCTAACTCCACTGTACTATTGGCTTGGATAAAAAGTTCATTTGTGGTTTTTCCGTAACAGCTTATGGAAAAACCTGAACGAACTCTTTGGGCAGCCCAATCATTTGAAATTC